ATGGATGGAGGACTATGCAGTTGGATTTTAAAAAGGCAGATCCACTCAATTCTTATTAAAATGGGTGAGAGCTCTGATGTTTATTAATTAGAGCTTTGTAAAATGTAAGCATGTGGGTTGAATATTTTAGTCCTGGCATTATTTATAATCTGATTTTACAATGACAGGTTTATTGGGGTTTTTAATGCACGTTTGGATAATTGTTGAGTTTTATCTGCATGCTTTTACTACAGTGCGGTCATCAGCACAATCTCCCAGGCTTGAAAGCAGCAGATCTGCTGGCAATTGTGCTATTATAAATTCATTCTGCAGGGTCAACCTGTAGCTCTAATGCTACAGGAAGAATATAAAAGAAGTGCATATTTTTGTCACAGCCACAGGTGGTAGAACACAGCATGAACTGTGCATTTGAAGAACTATCCCATGTGCAAGTGGGAATTGCTGCAGTTTTAGAGGAATCTTCCCAAATTCCATTTATGAAACTTCTGTGTAATCTTATTAAGGGACTAATACAACCAAAATTAAAAGGCTATACATATATTACATATATATATATATATATATATATAATTTCTGAAATGTGTGTTCAGATTTTAAGGCATCTCAGTGTCTGAGGGGCTGCAGTGCCTCTTTGCAACAGGGTGAGGGCCTCAGCTCTGTGTCTGAGTGTTCAACAGATCTGAGACTCTGCTCACTGCTTTTGCTTTTTGTTTTTTTATAAATAAGTAGAAAAGTAGAAAATTAAGTAGAAATATATTAGGCTGTGTTAAAACTCTAAGCAAAGTGCTAGCAAATGCAGTTGGGGTTTCACTGGGAGAATGGTGGGTGATGTCTGTGTGTGAGTAACTACAGCTGGAATCCTGGAAGTCCATCTGCAGTGGGAGATTATCACTGGCATAATATTTTGTCTGTGGTGTCTTTTTCTTTCTTTAAAGCTAGTGTTCAAATACTTGAAACATCAAAGTCTTCCCTTCTACACATTATTCATTCCTGCAAATGTCTCATATCATGCAGTAGGATGATCAGAAAGGTATCTGTCTTTAGAAAAATGGTAAATCAATCTTGTCCTTTTGGAAAAGTGGTTGGGAATGATTTTATGGTTATTAACTTGAATTCAATATTTTTTTTCAACCTAGGCTTTTTAAAATTCAAAAAACTTTCAAGCAACTTTTTAATCAGCCTCTTCTTGCCTTTTCTCAAAAGTAAAATCTTACTTTTTTTGTTTCTTTAGCCAGTTCCTTTATCTCATTTAAAATGAAACTCAACATAAAACACCTCATAGAACATTGAAACCCACTGTTTATCTGGGCATGTACCCACCACACCTGGGACTGAAGGCATGGTGCTTCCAAGGGTTCTGCTGTAGGGATGGCACTTCCACATGGTCTCTTTTAATACATTTTTTTGAGCACTTTTTGGGAAAACTCAACTTGAGAACTGTCCAGATGATGGTGGGTATGTTGATCATAGTCAGTTGCTGTACAATTTACAGATTTCAGTAGCTGGCTAAAAAAAAATGTGTATTGGTTGAGGTTTGTAGCTCCAAATGCAGTGGGTTCACATTGACTTGGAGTCTGCTGCCTTGAGGAGCTGCATGGTAGGCTCTATACGTAATGGCTGTAAGAATGATGTTTTACTAAACCTCAAAATATTTTAGTTCCCTGTTGTTTTAAGTGAAATTTTCTGTCTCATAGCTCAGTAGCTAAGTCAAACAGGATTTTAAATGCAGAAGCAGCTGAAGTTCTCTTCTGTACCAACATCCTCATGCCAAGAGCGTTCTGCAGTAACCAAGAGTTAACAGAAGCAAATATAAATGTTGTAAGGCCAACGTTGCACAAAACCAAGCACAGCTTCATGAAGAGCCTCAGACAACAGCAAGGTTTGGTGGTACATGCTGCTGTTACCATTACAGCCTCAGCTATTTGACAGCCCAGTAGCAGCTCAGAAGTGCCCCAAGGCAATGAACCATCTTTGCTGCTTTTGGGGAGATGCTTGTGGCAGATGGATATTTCAGAGCTGCCTGGAATTTCAGAGTCCTTACCTCTGGCTGTTTGACACCAGCCTCACCTGCAGCCAGCTGTCCTTCATGCAGGTGTTCCCTTTGGCTGAGCACAGGGGGAGCACTGGGATGGAGAGTGTGATCACCTGCGGGCTGCCATTTGAATGCATGGGGGCTTGGTGTGCCTTGACAGCATCTTCCTGATCCATCTTCAATGATGAATGGAAACAGGAACCCTGTGGAGATGAACGGGAGTGAAAATCAGTGAGAGAGAGAGAGAGAAACTGGATTTGTGGTTTGGAATAGAATCCCAGCATTGCCTCTGGCTTGGTCCCTTGATTGGGAATAGCTACCAATGCCTTCCCATGGTCTCCACTGGGAGGAAGGATCAGCAATCAGAGCTGATTCCTATGGCTGCAGCTAAAGCATTTTCACTGAAATCCAGCTGCTAGATATGTTGATTTTGATCAAACTTTCTTTTGGCAACATAAGTATTTTCTGTGAACTTAACCCTTTTGGGAAGGGAACACCGGCTTCAGCTCAAGTGCTGTTCGTGTGAAAATATTACAGTGTCTTTTTTGTTTGGTTCCAAGGAAAAAATAAAATATATCATTTGATCATGAAATCTGTCCAGAAACACTTCTGCTGTCCTTCAGTCAGCTTTGGTGTGTCTTTTGTAACTTGCTTTTAGTTGGACAGGAACAGCGAGCCAGACAAGCTAGCTATTATTTGAGTGATATTGGGTGAGGTTTCAGCCTTGTGAACACAGTCTGTGGTGTGTACAGAAGAATATGAGAATATTTTAAGCTGACCATTTAAGAAATTTACTTAGGTCAAAAAGTGGTTTCCTTTAGCTAAGCCAGTCATGGATGAAATCATGTCTGTGAAAGCCAGTTTAAAACTGCAGTGGTGCAAAAAGTCCTCATCAAAACTTGGTAAATTCTCTGAGAATGTTGAAGGTGTTTTACAAGCCTTGGGACAAACTATAAACTTGTGTCAGAATCCAATCTGAATTCTTGTGGCCAGCTTGTGAACTTGGAGTTTATAATGGAAATAGGGATGTAACAGATTCTTAACCATATCAAGACCAGCAGGTGTTGCTATAATATATTAAATGCTGTGGAGCCATCAAATAAGCTGCACTTGAGCAGCTTATTCAATATTTTCTTAAACCAAATTGTTATATGCTAGGAAAATGTAATGCTGTGGGTGATTTGCAATAAGAATACTACTGAAATAATGAAATCACTGGAAAATTTCAGATGCTGAGCTGCTTCTGCTGAGTGACTAAGAGATTTCTGCTGCAGCTTGACTGAAAGATCTCATACTGCACCTAGGCATTATTTGTATTTAAGAATTCAGTAATGTAGGAAATAACTAAATCATGTACATATTTCCATACTTGGAAGAGATGACCCTGCAGAAACTTGTGGTATCTTCTTCCAGGGATAAGATGAGATGATGGTGAAACTCCAGTTTGGGTCTTTTCTGCTCAACACAGGGCTCACTGGTGACCCTCAAAAGACCAGGGGAGAAGAGAATTCCTCTAGGACAGAAACATATCTTCTCAAAGAAACTGCACTCTCAGGGGCCTTGCAGAAGGTAAGCAGCAGGAGGGTCAGAAGCAGGACCAGCAGTGGAGAATTTATACCTCACCTTTATAACTCACCTTTATAATTTTATATTTTCACTCAGGGAAACCCTGAGCAGGACTTGCCAAGTTTCAATGAACTTGGGGAGGTTGTAACCTTTGCTAGACTTTGAGTTGGCAGCTCCTGAAACCAAGAAGGAAGGATGAAAGGAGAAAAATTCCCAGCACCAGGATATATCCTATGGTATGCAACCCTCTAAGTGAGATGGGTATATCTTTTTGTATAAAAGGAGGATCACTGTGGACATGAATGGAGAAGTTGTTGAAAATTTAATGTCCAAAGGTATTGAGATTAAAGAGTTAATGGTTTTGACCTGAGAGATTATTAATTTAGACTAGATATAAAGCATAAATATTTTTTGATGAGGGTGGTAAAATGCTGTCATAAGCTGCCCAGGGAGGTGGTGGATGCCCCATCCCTGGAAACATTAGAGGTCAGCTCCGACAGGGCTCCGAGCAACCTGATCTAGTTGAAGATGTCCCTGCTCAATGCAGGGGGCTTGGAGCAGATGGGCTTTTAAACATTTCTGCCAACCTAAACTATTTTATGAGCCCATTTTTCTATGGATGCTTGGCAAGAACTTCTCTTGCCTGTGGATGTGGTCCTAACCATGTCATTTCCATGCAGGATCCCAAACCAGCGCCGTGCTCGGGCTGCTGGGAAGCCCAGGGAGCCGAGCGCGTTACCAGCTCTCCCTCTTGCCGGGGAGCGTGCGAACTTGTTTCACCTCATCTCCACCGCTGAGACGGGTGGGGCATCACCTCCCCTCCGGGGCTGCACCGCAGCCAAGGACACCTCCATCCTGCCGCCCTCGGCAGGTGCCCGTGGGCAGTCCCGGCGCTCTCCAGGTGGGCAGCGGCGATAAGATGGCCCCTTTGGAGCTCTGCCGCTGGGCAGGGCGCGGAGCGGGGCGGGCGCGGCTCCGCCGTGTGCATGTCGATGAGATCCCCCGGAGCACGTCACCGCGCACCGGCGCTCTGCGTTTGGGGCGGCGGACAGCGAGCGAGGGCGGGCGAGCGGGAGCAGCAGCAGCAGCAGGAGGAGGAGGAGGAAGAGGAGGAGGAGGAGGCTCGGCGGAGCAGCAGAGCTCCATGCCGCCCTGCCCGCCGCGGCGCGGGCCCCGCGGGGCGACGGCGGGCTCGGGGCGGGGAGCGGCGCGGCGGTGCTGAAGGACAGCTCCGCTCTGCTCGGCTCCGCTCCCGGTCTCTCCGCTCCCCCTGGCTCCGCTGCCTTCGGCTCCGCTCCCCCCGGCTCCGCTCCGCGCCCCGGGCGCGCCCCTCGCCGGGTGGCCGCGGGGCCGCCGCTCGCCGCGCCTGGATGCGCCCCCCGCCACCGCGCCCGCGGCTCCCATGGCGGTGGCACGGAAAATCAAAACTTTGTTGACGGTGAACATCTTGGTCTTCGTGGGCATCATCCTCTTCTCCGTGTACTGCAGGATCCAGGACCGCTCCCAGGAGCTGGTGCAGATCGTCCGGAGCGCGGAGCGCCGGGCCAGGAGCCGCGGTGCCAAGGTGGGCAGCCTGGCCGACAGGGAGTCCATCCTGCAGCGCCTGGACCACCTGGAGGAAGTGGTCTACAACCAGCTCAATGGTACGAGGGGCGGGAGGGGATGTCCTGTGCCCCGGGAGGGTGCTGCAGGATGGGAAAGAGCCCCCCAAGTGTCCCCCCGCTGGGGAGGGGAGCCCGGGCACCGCTCGCACCGACCCCAGCGCTGCAAACCGAGGGCAGGAGGTGATGCGGGGTTTGCTGGAGGGGTTTGTCGAGCCTCCCACCACTACCCTGCCTCTCTGCCAACTCTTGGTCCAAAGTCAGGACTTCCTCAATAGATGCAAAGTTCAGGAGGCTGCAGTTCAGGGGTTTCAGGATCAGAGGAAGTCCCTACAAACTGTACCAGGTTTTACGGTTTGTCTGGGTATATTAACTCTGCATAGGAAGTTGTTTTATAGCAAATACAGTGTTAGATTATAGCTGGAAGTCATATACTTGGTTTTGGAACTACTTTAAAAACATTCTGATGAGTTCTTACGTTGTGCACTATTAATGGTCTGTTTAAACAAAGCACCCATATGTTTCCTTAATGATTTTGCCATTCAAATTTGTTATTGTCATTGATGAGGAGGGGAAGCATCCACCAGTTCTTTTTATGACTTACCATTCTAATTCACCAACCTCGAAAAATATTGCTAGGTAAGCAAAGAACCCTTCCACAGTAGTTAAAACAGGCTAAGCCATCGTTAGCCAGTTGTTATAGGACAGATAACATTTCATATAGAAACTAATTCTTCAAAATGACTGCATTTGTATTTGCATAGATTTGTAAAGTTCTAAGTGTGAGACATCAGAGGAATAAGTATGTGATTAAATACAGCAGTGTTTTGGACAAGAAAAGGCTGGAGGAGTGAACTTCTGCATGAGATTGTAATATAAATGTAACATTTAGTGTTTCACAGCAAATAAAATTTTCAGTGTAAATATGTTTAATGTGCTTCTAGGCTGCTTGTGGAAATCTTACTTGTAACATTGATTTAAGCAAGGCTACTGTAGCCTCAAAATGCAGACAAATAGTAGGGTTAGCATAAAGTACGTTTCCTATTACTACTTTGTGAATGAATGTATAAATCTAAGTAAGTTAAGCTGTTATAGCAATATGCAGTTTGTGCTAGCGAGTGTTAGGGAACAGGCATCCCCTCACGCTCTCCTCTGGATAAACAGGGCAGAGAGAGGGGGAACATGGAGTGGGCTGTTAGTCCCAAACCACACATTCAGGAATTAGAAGGAAAGTGTCAACAGCTGTGTTTTCTAACCATATTTTGGAACAGTTCTGAAGAATGTAGGATTTAAGAGGAAAATCATTCTCATTAATTCCACCAAGCCACAAAGTTCCCAATCTAAATTCGATTGGTCTGCAAGGTATATCCATTACAGCTCAGTGAATGGGATTTTCTCACCAAAATAGCTTTGTTCTTGGTGTTCTTCAGAGGGAAGACTTTGGGAAGGATTTCCCTGTTCTGTGTTCATCTCAGCACAGCATCCCCTGGAGAATCAGCAGAGTCCTTACCGTGCTAGGCAGGCACCATTGCACGCAATGACTGGAAGTTCTCTGTGAAGCATGCCTCTCTTTGGGAGCTGTTTTCCTCATCTTCTTTAATTCCATTTATTGGATATGAATCTTCATGGTGAAATGACTTGAACTTATTTTTACTTTGCTTCTTCAGGTCATATCAAACACTGCAGGCAGTTTTCTTTTCCTGGAAGTTCTCACACAGGAAAATACAGAAAGTTTTTCAAGCTGAGCTGTTCAGATTTCCTGTTTATTTCCCCTTAATTTTTCTCTGATGTGATTGTTGAGTTTCTTATTATTACACAGTAGTACGTTAACATAGATTAATTCTTTCATTATCATTCTGAAAAAAAGACTTTTTTTCCCCCATCACGCTTCAACAGAAAGAAAAAGTCCTAAGAAATTAGGAGGTGCTCCACTGAAATCATCAGAGTTTCATCTCTGCAAGTGAAATCAGGACCAAGCATCTGTGTTTGGGTTTGGCTGGCTGCTGTTCTGTTTGTAATACCATGAGTCATGATTTAAGTCATTAATGTGCTTCAGAGGGATGCAGGGGAGCCTGTGTGACAGGGCTGTGCTGTGTCACACGGCAGGGCTGCTGTGACACAAACACTCTGTGCTCTGCGGCTTCACCTCAGCGTTGAGTCAGGATCCTCAGTGCTGCACATGCTGCCTGATCCCAAGGTCAGAGAGCTGGCTGAGGCTGTCTTGGGTGTCACTTTTTCATAGGGTGGGTCCAAGTTTCTTCCATGTGGAGAGACGCACACGGGTAGACAGATTTTATTCAGGAGGAATATGAGTTTATTGCATACCCAGAACCCCTCAAAGCTCCAGGAGGCTGAGTCCAGCTCAATGCTATCATTGCAGCAGGTCAGCTCAGTACTTCAGTTTTCTGCTCTTGGTCCTTTCTCTTTGAGATCAGCAAATTTAGAGCTACCTATTAAGTATATTTTTTGGTAATATCTCAATGTTCTTTTATTTTGCTTTTCTATTCAGATGAGACCTGAAGTCATAAAACTTACCTGGATTTTCTAGGGACTCTGTTGGTGATCCAGTGCTATAAAAAGCCACTCTGAGAGAGACCAGCCTTGCAGCTGCACAGAATTTTGTTTCTGTCACACATATTTGTTTACATACAATCAAGGAAATGTTATTTAGGAGTGCGTACCTTCTGCAAGGAGAAGAAACACAGGCAGTAACATTACAAATGTATGAAGAGGCAACCCAAAACTGATCACTTGAGAACTCATTAACTTTTCAGTCTGAATGAAATCAGTGAGTGCAGTGCCTCAGTGAGTGCAGTGTGCAGAACTCAGAGGACCATAGAGGAAAGTCAGGAGAAAGCTGGTCCTTGCCATTATCTTTGGCAGAACAAGAGTTTTCAGAATAGGATGAATGAGAATTGCCATGATTCCCTGCAGAGTCATGCAGACATACACCCAAACAATAGTTTTCATTTGGCTCGTGCTCTGGTTTTTTATCAACTTGGGAAAAATAGTATTTCTGAAAGCTTCCTTTTCCCTCAGCTGCTGCTGGGTTAGGTGGAAGCAAATGAACAGAACATGTAGAGGGAAAGGAAAGCAATGAAACGTGTCAGTGGAATTTTCTTGGTGAGACTTTGTACTACCTCCTGATGTTTGACCTTGGGTGCAATGTTTATTTTGAAAAACAGAGTTATTATAGACCTAATTGAGCAATCCATATATTTTCTTTTTTATTATTTTTGCTATGGTATTGCTATTGATGGATATATTTTATTGTTATTCAGCACAGAACTCATACCAGCTAGACTTGGTAGCAATTAATTAAATGTCATAATGATAACACCTTTGTATTTTCTTCCTTTCCCTTTAATTTTTTTGTAAAGGGGAAAAATTTAAAAATTATTGAACTGACTGATCTTTTTCCCCTAATCAGTTTTGTATCTAAGTCTGTTGCTAATGATTCACCATAGAGGATAAAGAATTTTTGATACCCCAAATAGAGCATGACCTTTCATGCCAAAAGCAATTGAAGGTCAGACAACAATTTCAGTCTAATTGCCTTTTTCCCTTTTCACTGTCTCTTTCCAGTAATACACAACAATCAATACAGCATGTAATTAGATTTCATTCAATCTGCAAAGATTTAGAGAGCTTTCATCTTCTCATTATGTATTCTCACATCATGTCTTCCTACCCATGTCTTCTACACTGGACCCCTTTGACCTGTTCTATTTTAGATGTGGAGGGATAAGCTGGGAGTATTCCCTTGAATTTGTCAGGTTATCATTCATTACACATCATAATTTGATTTTGGTCTCTTTGGGAAGATTAAATGTAAAAGCAATTTCCAGTGTGATAAATGGGGTTTACATTACATATGCATTTCATGGAGGAGGCTGGAGGAAAAATGGACAATTCACATAATTGCAGCACAGAGGCTTAAAATGATGGAAATAGCAGGTCCTGGGTGCAGAGTACTGATTCCTGCTGACTGGGGCTCCTGATTTTTAGAGTGCACTGGAAGCCAAGTGATTGCATTTAAAATTCAGCCTGGAAATCTGCATAGGTAAAAGTTACAGTAGTATATTTAAAAGGGCAGTTTATTCTTCATAAGCTCTGGACTGGTTGAAAATGGGTCCAAATTTCCATGTTAGAAAGTTGGAAACATGCTGCAAGAGAGTCATGTGAATGTCCACATCACATGTCCACATTGTCAAAAAGAAGTTTTTACAGCTGGCAGCTCTCAGCTGAAGAACAGTTCCCTGGCAGAGGAAAGAGGAAAAGCCACACATGCACGAGTCACATTTAGTGTGACTGCAGCCTTGTACCAATGAAACTGCACTTTCTCATACCCAAATATTTTATAACCATTTCTATTTTATGTGTTTGTGGTCTGCTGCTAACATACATCTGGCAAAATTAGCACCAAAACTTCTCCAGAAATACCAGCTCACCTGTGGGCTCTGCTCTCAGCCATGGGGTTTCCTTCTGGTGATGGGCTTTTCTTCACGTGGTCTCATTTTGAGGACATTTTTAAAGAAGTGCAAGGTTGGTTCTCATGGAGGCAGGAGGGAAAAATGCTGACTTTTTTTTTTTTTTTTTTTTTTTTTTTTTTTTTTTGAGTTAGGCTGCCATTTCTTGGTTTACTACACAGTGTTTTCTGTTGTGCTGGGTCATTTCCTCAAGCTTAGGTAAGTCACCATTGACTTACCCTGACCTTCTGTATTGCAAAGTGATGGTCAAGTCCAACAGACCAATTTCCCCATCACACTTGTTTTGGTTGTGTTACTATTGATTTTTGCAGCTGAGGGAACTCACAATCAGTGCTTTCAGGAAGGTCAAGGTTTTATTCCCCAAAACAACAGAAGGGAAACGTAATGAGCCAGTATTTGGATAGCCCCTATATAAATATAAGGTAATATTTGAAATATAATTATTCTATTTAAGCACTTTAGGGAGAAAAGTTCTAAAAGTTTAGTTAAAAAAAGAGGGCAGCTCTCTTTTGTAAAACAGACAAAATTGCACTCAGCTCTGACAAATATTGA